AAGGTATCAGTTTTTTTTGCACAAGCCACGACTGAGAATATCAAATTTAATGTAATCTAACGTCTTAATAAACCTAATTAACGTTAATCTCAAACGGTATCGCTGAATATTATCATAAAAATTTAGTTTCTGTTTAATTTTGGATTTTTAATTTGATTCAATTTTATTAATATGTATCAGTAAGATTGTAAGAAAAAATGCCAAATTTACAGAAAGGGCGGATGAGGGTTAATACACTCAAATTTACACCCACGTTCAAAACTATACTCATTATAGTAGAAAAATTACATAGATTACATGTTCAAAAGTTGTAATCTTTCCTTAATATATTAATCTGTATTTAAATTAAATTTTTTAATTTTCTTTCAATGAAGGATTATTAATAATAATAATTTGTTAAATATTAAAAGTGCGCAAGAATCCGAAAATATTGGAAACCTGGTATTCAAAATAATAAATATTTCGAGATCCAAAAATATGAGAATTCTCGAGAATTTCGAAAATTCGAGACATTCGTTTCCAGACTAATTTCATTGAATACGATCATGGTTTCAATTTTTACTTTTTAGGCAGTATAAAATTGTAAGTATGAGGCAGAAATAATGTTATCCAATTTCAAGATAATGCGAAATGTGCATTGAATTCTCAAAGTTCCCGGTTTTTTTAAAATTGCAAGGTATTTACCGGATGATACGCTCTAAAGGCATTTCGAAATACCTTTAAGACGTATCACAATCCCCAAAAATATTTTCAGATTCTCTCACGTGCATATTACATGTATAAAATACAAAAAAACTGGATTTCAAAAAAAAAAAAAAAAAAAAAAATTTCGAACTGTTCGATATAAAAATACATCTCCGAAAATAGTTACCTCTAAACACATCTGAATTTCAAACGAAGGGAATATGCCACCTTCGGGATCAGTTTCGTCGAGAATGTAACAAATACTAGAAAAGAGTAACAAATTCTAGAAAAGAGTAACAAATTCTTTTAGCTTTTCTAACTTATTTTAATATTACAAAAATTAACAAAAGCATTTATTTTTAAAACGCATTTTAATGTGTTCTCCAATATTAAATATTTAAATTGTTTAAATAACAAAATCAAAATAATAAGTTCTCAATCTGAATGTAAGGGAAAAAAATTGAAAACTATTATCCATCACAAAAGTAATTTAAAAATGTGCAAACGCGAAAATAAAATCATAATAGGGCATACATATGTTTATGAATTTCTTTTCTTAGTTTATGTGCTGAATCAGCTTCTATACTTTTTCATATACCTATATATTCGCTCTGTGGTTGCAAATATTAATTACCAAACATTATGCATAGGTAAAATATATATATATATATAATATTATTATATGATGATATCGTTATAAATAATATTTTTAATTTTCGATTTGTATATCAAAGGATCTATAAATTTCTGAGTGTTCAGAATATTATTTAAAATATTTTGGGACTATCTTCACTGCATCTTAATTTACTAGTGTTGTATACTACTCTACACTATGGGGTGAGAATCGGCCTTTATGAGCCCAACTCTCTTCTTCCTGACCACATGATTGGGAAGGTAAGTCATTTTCAGCTCAGATGTGCTGTTGGCAAAGGTCCCATAAATTCGATTACTTTATTGCCCATAAGGCACCTAATGGTACCCAGGGATGCATCCCTTACATTTATATGTTTATTGGTCCTGGCCAAGGCCAGAAGAATGCATCTCCTACAATATAAATAATTAATAATAAATAAATATTAATATATTGTAGGGATGCAAGTTATGTTTATGACCTTAAGGCAACTTAGGCACATAGATGACCTGCAGACGTTATACAATGCTATATACAAGAATAATATGTAATATAACATTAAGTTATAAATATAATGTTAGTATGAATATGAAAAGGGAAGAAAGAGAAAAAGAAAGAGAACAAATGGTTCAACAAGAAGTTGAATGAAAGTGTAAATAGATCTGACCATTAAGTAGAATAAATAGTGTAGATTTAATCATCGAGTGGAGAAAAGCAATATGGAATCGAAGATTGAGCAGATAGAATATAGTAGAATCTATCAAGCTCAGTTTAAACGAGTTTAGTTTTAAGTATATATTAAGTTAAATATACCTATTTTGACGTTATATACTGATCTTTGACTGTCTAACTTCCTACAATATTAAGTTTCAGTTTTAGTAATTAGTGCAATAATTATTAATAACCTGGTAGAGACAGCTTGAATAAGACCTTTGGAAATCAACGTGTCAACGTAGGATAAATAAGGCTGCCATTTTTCATGTCTCATTGCTAACGTTTCTTCGTCAACTTCCTCTTCTTCTTCTACTTGTTCTTGCTCTTCCGGTGATTCCATTTCTTCGGTTATTTCCTCGTCCAGCCTAAATGAAAATTAATTAAATAAAATTGTGAAATAATAACGATCGTCGTCAATATTGTTCATTATAAATTTTATGCAATCATTAAAACAAAAATGTTACTATTATCTTATATTATCTTTCAATTATCGTTGTTTATTCTTTAATTTTATTCATTCATTTAAGAAAAACTAATTATTAAAAGTAATGAATTACTCAGAAATTTAGAGCATCCTTTTCTTTTTAAAGTAATGTAAATATTATAATCAGAAAATTAATATTTATTAATATATAATTTATTTGTAGTTTCAATATTTTAAAATATGAATATTATAATAAAACTATGATACTCGATGTGTGATGTTCTCGTGGATTTTAACGAAACTTGTTTTAGTTATTTTAGTATTTTTACTTTTGACATACATATAAAAAAGAAATAATAAAAACATAATAAAAACAACTAAAAATAATGACTTTGAAAAAAAATGAAATACATCTAAAACACAGGAAAAATGTTTCTGGATACATATATATATATATATATATATTGATAACTATTTATAAAAGAAAACTTCAGTAATTATTTACAAAGCGATCGACTTTGTAGAATTTGATGACTTCGAAATATGTTGCCAAGGTCAACATTCTGAATAATCACCGCTCGACTTTAGTTTCTTTTACATTCGCAAAAATATTTTATCGTATCTTTAACGTTTGAGATATGTTTGTATTAATTAAAACTATCAATATAGCCTTTGTAAATAATACTAAAAATTCAATTCAAACAGAACGTATCACAGTATTTCTATTGTCATATAGGATATTTTTTGATTAAGAAAAAACAAAATTTTGGTACTTGTAATATATAATTATAATGTTCTCTATAAATATTCTTCAATTCAAGATGTTCAATTCCTTTTCAAATACAAAACTATTATCTGTTGGAAATATGTGTGTACACATGAAAACGTTGTTTTTACTATTTTTCAACAAAAATATGCATGATGCTGTTTGCATCAATATGTAAAAAATGAATTATTCATTTTAAAATCTAATAATATAATGATGATTGCGTAACGAAACAAATATTCGAATTTACTTTACAACTTCGTCGTCCTCTCCTTCGTCAGCTACTTTTTCCATTTCTGCTTCCTGTTCTTCTTCAGTGTGAACTGTACATGATTACGTTGAATAAATAATACGTTCAAAAATTCATTTACTAACGAATAATTTTTAATTAAATAGCTACCGTCTAATAATTCTAACTCTTCTTTATCATAGATGTTATCTGGCAGCAAGTCAAAGAACAATTTATAATTTTCTTTCAATACTTGGTCGAGATGTTCAGCCGTGGCCTCAATTTCCGTAAATCGTTCCGCGAATCTGTCGTCCTTGTCAGCGAGTAATAACAAATTTTCATCTTTGGCGTCTTTGCGATAAAGAACTGGCATCATTGCCCAAGCATACATTTGGTTCATAATGTTACTTAAGTTCCTTTGCGCACGAAATACTCTAGCATGTAATTTCCAAATGATTTTTACCAAATTGTCGATGTATTCCGGAACCTCTAAAATTGATTTATTTAATTAAAGAAAAAAAACTCGATGAACAATTTCCTGGTATTTCTTAACCACTTGATTTTTAATTTTCTCCGGTAAGCATTAATTATTACATATTACATACAAATATTAATGGTATTAATGATAAATATAAAGTATTAAAAATTATACAAAGAAATAAAATTATTCTTGTTCTACTTTTTTAATTAACAAGTTTAATTTACAAAAAAAATATAGTTTATTAATATGTTACAGGTATTGCAGTTATATATTATATTAACAGTTGTGTACCTTCCGAGTTCCAATTATAATGTTCTTGGCCATAATTAATTAAGTCATCGATGTTTTCAACTTCGTCTTCCACTAATTGGAATTCTACTGGTACACTCTCACTTCGTATTCTATTATACCTAAAATATATAAATTCCATTAACATCATATTCAAATACAACAACCTCTGGCTGGAGAAACAAAATGCTGATTAGTTCGAGAATATCATTTATAAAGTATAAACAAAATAAAAAATACGTGCTGTGTATGCATGTAGTACTTATATGTATTTGTATTTACATATAACGTCTACTCAGATATAATTTAACACAATATGGTCAGATTGTGGATTTTCATGGATTTATGTTAAATTTGAAAGTGCAAAGTGCACGTAATATGAAAGAAATACGTAAAATATACAAAGTACAGTGTTTATTAAATAATAATATTTAGTTGATGAAACAAATTTCCATTTAGATTCCATTTCTTTAATTATGTTTGTCAAAATGTAAAAATGCATTAAAATCCGTAGTTTAATAATCATCTTGAAAAGTCTACGAAATCATTTAATTGAAATAATAAACAAATTTCAGTTACTGATGTTGATTGAGTTCCCCCATATCTCTGTTATTTTTTATCTTTGTTCTAACGTACAATATTTAATATTTTCCAATCCTGTTCCTTGTTATACTTGTTATAATAGTTATTTCCTGATCTCTGCTCTAATGTACTTGTTAAAATAATTATTTTCTGATCGTGATCGGAATTACAGGCTGCAAAGAGTTCTTTGAGTGAGTCTATCACAAGCACTTCTCCATTTCAAATGTTTCATATTTACTAGATACTAGTTTATTACGATACGTTACATAATGTTTGTTATAATATCTACTTTCGAACTTTTTATTTAAACATTCTAAAAGCAAACAAGATAAACATTCACTGAGGAAATATATTTTTTGAGTCATATCTTTGATCCTCATTCTAAAGGATACAATAAAAAAATAAAAAAATATTAGGTATTATTTTAAATAAAATATGGAATCAGAATATTGTAATAACTAGAATACTTCTATGCATATACTTCAATTTATTGAAGTATAATAAAATAACAATAATGAAAGAAAGAAAGTGGCAAATAAGATCTGTGTTTCGCAAAGATCTAGTCATTAAATAATATAGGAATAGAAACTGGACATTAAAAACATGCAAAACTAAAGAAATATAAGATAATAAAAAATAAAATCCAGAGAATATAGAGGAAATATCGAAATGTTATCATCTCAGGTCTTCTTCATTTCTTTATTACAGATATTAATTTTTTTTATCATTATATCAATTTGACACTAAGGAAAAAAATTGAGTTGATTTTTAAAGTGTAATTTTGATATATTAGTTTAATATTAAATATCAAAATAATTTCCTAACATCTTCTGAAAAAAGAGAATAATCGTAATCAAAGAAAACTGAAAGCTTACCAATTTACTATTAAATTGAGGTTGTAAGTGCTGGTGAAAAAGAATCGTGATCTATTGTAGAAATCTATTGCTTCTTGAGGAAGATCGGGCACTTTCACGATTATCATGTAACGGATCTCTCTTAAAGTAGTTTTTAACGCCAGATCGAAATTCATTTCGAACAGCTTATCCTCCCTAATTTTTAAAAGTGTTTTCGTCAAGTGGGTTTCCCAAATTTCTGGCAGTTTCTCTGCCCAAGCGGTAAATATTTGCTTCTCTTTTTCCTCGATAATCGCCTTGAAGAGATAAATGTATTATTAATATAATAAAGATATTTCCTTAGATTGTAACAAATGAAATGTTCATTTCTGTATAAATATTTTAAATCTTTTTCCTAAATAAATATTCCCTTTCTCTGTCATACACGAGATATGAGTCTTTTAAAAGTCAAACACAAAAGATCGGTTTGACTTTTTGTTAATTTTATTTTACACAAATACACAATTAATGTTCAACTTTCCAAAAACAGATAATTTCTCTCAATGTTCGTGAAGATGTTTAACTATCTAATTATATATTTCAAAATTGATAAATAATTATCAAAAACCCTCATCTTTATCCTAATTTCAACTATTGTAGTATATTTTTGCAAATTTCTCAAGAATGGTTACACCTACAAGGAAAAGTTCAGAAAGCTCAGAATCATGTTTCTGACAACATGGCCATTGAAATCGATGGGATGTATCTCTTTGTAAATCATTACTAAAAATATTAAATTTGAAAAAGCAACGCTATAAAAAAGAAAAATTAATCTTCAATGTAAGTTTTAATTTTTCAATGTAACTTTATTTCATGTTACCTCCAGTTCTTCGTATTTGCTCTTGAGTACATTTTCCATTTTGTCATTAATTAAAGGATGATCAATTAATTTGATACATTGCACTGGGAAACGAGTTATTTCATGAAGTTTCATTAATAAACACAGGGATGCAGCCACTGGGGGTAAATGTCTATTCAGTGACAAATGCACATCTTTTATCTCAGGATTGAAATTGTTGTCGAATAAAATCTGCAACACAAAACTTTTATAATTTTTTGCTTTTCACGAAATTTACGAAGGTTTATTGAATTTTCTAACGACATAAGTAAAAAATCGTTATGAAAAAAATATTAATCCTTTAATAACATTTTTGATATGAAAAATTATTATTCGTTTCAATAAGACTAGTTTTTATTAAATTTAAAGCATTATTCTTACTATCTTACTAATTATTCAAATTCAAAATTAGGAAAAATGAGTTTATTATTTACTATAGAAATAATAAGTACTAATTATACTTGTTTCATTTACTTATATATTTTTTTTATGTTAATAGAAGGTAAAAAACAAGTTTTACATTGCAAGTAAATTATTCGTTATTTTATCATTATTTTATTTTAGTGTCCCTGTTTTTAATTTATGATATAGTATTATTATAAAATATTATAAAGTATTACATGAATTTTCACAACATTGACACCTAATAGACATTAGTCAAACAAAGAGCTAAACTATGAGTGAAATTTAATTTATTAGTATGGAAATCACCTTAATGTTACTAAAGTGTTGATCTATTCTCTGAATTATTTCTTCATAGTTGTGCCACAATTGTGCCATTATTATAGGTCTATTGGCAATTACACCCATTATCCAGACAAATTTAAAAAACGACTCTAGGTTGTGACATTCTGCAAATGCTTGGTCAAAAATGCTTGCCAATCGTCGATCGAACTGCTCTATCTTTTATTTGAAGAAGTATTTTAATTAATTAAGGATAAATTGTACAAAGTGCATTTGAAAAAAGAAAATGTCCAAAGAAAGAATTTTTTCAAAATAATAATATTTCTTATATAGAGTGATTCACATAATTGATAACAAATATGCATATTCTATGTACATTCTTCTTTTTTTTTTTTTGTTGAAATTGAAAAAAGAAAGTACAAGTACAAATGCAATAATGCATGTATAATTATCTCTTTAAACAAACATTTTATGTATCAAATATTCACGTCAGTTTAAAAAAATAGCTATTAAAATAATAGTTAAAAATTGATATATTTAAAAGATATTTTAACTTTGATTAACTTGTAACATATAAAGAGACTGCAGGATATTATACATTGCAATCAAGACATATAAAAATAAAATACGTTTTATATTTAATGAATAAAACGAGTTTATTTGAAATCCAATTTTTTAGTTTTATAAGAATACAAAAATATATAAACATATATAAAACATATATAAAATATATAGTCCACATATAAAAGACAGGGAAAACAAACTCAAGAATAATACGTCTTTTTTTCATCTTTCACAAAATGAGTTTTACAAAATTAAAATTAAAATACATTTTAATAAAGAATTGATATGTATTTACAAATAAATAAATAACATTTTGAGCAGTAAATACACTAATATCCAAGTTACATATGTTTATATATTTTCTTCTCAAGCATGCACATAAAATATAAAAAAATTGCTAGAGCAAAAAATATTTATTTTCAATAAAACTATAAAAATCTGTAACAACTTGAATATCTTGAATTCTGTATTCTTTCTTAAATATTAAATCCAATTTTTTTAAATTAATTTTTAAAAAATTGGACTTTCGTTGAATCAATATATTTAAAAAATATATTTGTTGCTATCTGTAATATTATTGTAATAATGTTACTACTCTTTGTAAAACAATTTATATATAAAATTTTTATCTAAATATTCTACATACAAACATGTAAAATATTAATATATAATATATAATATTTTATTCAATAAAATTACATATTTGTTTTCTAGAAAGCAAGTGAATAAAGTGCTCACCATGGCGAAGAATTCATCTAAATCTGTAGTAAATTGTTCTTCTTCAGGCATTAAAACTTCATAGGATACGTCTCCAAATTGTTGATACAATTTAACAAATTCCTCATAAATATTATTAGCCATATATTGCAATGATTTCGCTTTTAAACCAGATATTTCTATTCTTTCTAGTTTCAAATAATCTTGTACCGTATCAAATAATGACTGTAATAAACAATTACAATTGTAAATAATTTGAAAGATTAATGTAAAGTGTATTATGTAGAATGTGACATAATAAAAAAAAAATGAAATGCGATCAAGAAAAGAAATAAATTAAAAGTTGTTGTGTGAAGTATTTAGGCACTGTAATAAAACGTTTAAAAACAATTTATAAATAATTGTTTAGTTATTATTTACGAATAATTTACGTAATATCTATGAGTATTGATGCAAATAAAAATAACTATATATAACTACATATATAACTATAATTATAATTATATATATATATATATATAAATATTTATAATAACATAATTCTAATATTGCAAA